AAAATGCCTACAATCCAATTACTTGATGCGAGAAATGTAGTATTGAGAGTTTTAGCAACAACCCTCTCAAGAACACAATGGTAGTCCGATTCTATGTATTATGTTCTTGCATGCATCACAGGATTAGCAAATAAGTAGGTGGCCCTAATGTTATCGCAAAAGAGAGATGGAGAACTAAGGAGAAAAATACCAAGTTCCTTTAATAAATATTGAAGCCATATTAAACCCAAGTTGCTAAAGCCAAAGATAAATGCTTTGCTTCAATAGAAGATCTAGAAACAGTTGGGGGCAAACTATGAAATTAAATTTGTGCCAAAAAATACACAAAATCCTCTAGTGAAATGTCTATTATGAGGGCAACTAGCCCAATTAACATCAGAAAAAACATATAAAGTAGAAGGAGACTTTCAAATCAAAACTCCATAATTAGTAATAAATTTAAGACAACAAAATATCCTTTTAACAGCGACCGAATGTGTATCCCTTGGTGAGTGTAAAAATTGACAAGCTTGTTCTTAGCAAAAGAAATATCTAGCCTTGTAGAAGATAGATATTGAAGATTACCCACTATACTTCTTTTGTCTAGATGAGAATTTATTATGCAAAGCTGTTAATTCATTATGCGAAGGTGTTAATTTTGTTAGCTTAAAGTCACAATTCAGTGATAAAATAGTCAATTGTAAGATCTGTTTAATTGTCAATTTATCATGCAAACGTTGTTAGTTATACCTGCTTCAAGTAAGATAGTTTAACTATGAAGTACTTCCTTCAATTTAAAATATAAATGGCATTATAAAAACTATTCTTGATCCAAAATATAAGTCACTTGGCAATTGGTATAATTTATTTCTTGATTATATCCTTGATTTTTTTTAAATGTCTATTTAAATTTGAACTATCTTATAGGTAAAACATGAAAAACATAAATCTTTTAAGGTATAATCATTCCTTTTTTTTTTTCAAAAGTGCCCTTATTGATAATGACTTTATATTTATTGTAAGGTGTTTAATAGGGATAAATATGAAAAGACATAGTTAATTTAAAAGTATGTAATTACTTTATTGGGGGTAAGATTCAATTAAAAATGCATTATATTTTTGAACAGAGGGGGTATAATTTATTTCTTGATTATATCCTTGATTTTTTTTTAAATGTCCATTGAAATTTTAACTATCTTATAAGTAAAACATGAAAAACATAAATCTTTTTAGGAAATTAATGTTGTAGCCAACTCTTTTATAGAATCCATGGATTAGATGTAATGTAGTTAAACTGTAGACTTATTAATAAAGTATACATTAATAGTCAATTGATCATGCCACATTTTTAATGAGGCGCGCATTAGAGTAAAAGGCTTTTTATTGAATTTTTTATTTTTCAAAATTTTTAAGCTAGGTTTAAAACTTAAAAGGTTAAATTATCATAGGAAGGATATTTCTAATGCTATGTTTAGATACACATGAATTTAAATTTGGATTTAAATTTAAGCCAAATCTATTATTTGAATAATTAAAAATATATAGATTTGGCCAAGTTATCCCTTATTTTTTTTTATAATTTGAAATCATTTCTAAACCTTTATTATTTCAAATCCTAAGATCTTTTATAATTTGACCCAAATGCATAAATGCTTGATCGACTTGTCAACGGTAATTGGACCAAATCACCAAAGTTGACGGAAACAAGCTACCACTGTTGCTCGAGACAGGACGACTAACTTCCACAAGGACCAGACCAACAACGGCGACGAGGATGGGACAACCAACTTCTATTGGGACCAAACCGAAGGCAACGACGGGGACAGGACGGTTGACTTCCACAGGATAAGATTGACGACGACTGTGGGGACCTGATGGCCGACTTCCATCAGCACTGGACTGATGAAAAAGATGGGTACCGGATGACCAACTTCCATAGGAATTGGAATGACAGTGATAACTGAGATCGAACGACCAACTTCCATAGGAATTGGAATGACAGTGATAACTGAGATCGAACGACCAACTTCCACCAAGCTCGGATCGACGGCAACAATCAGGATGGGACGATCGCCTTTCATCAGGACAGGACATACTGTGACGACTAGGATGGAACGACAGCCTTCCACCGGGACAAGACATACGGCAATGATGGGGATGAGACGGCCGCCTTCCATCGAGATCAGACCGGTAGTGACCATTGAGACTGGACAGTCGACTTTCACTAGGACCAAATTGATGGCGATGACGAGAACCAGACGACCGACTTCCATCAGAACCAGACCATGACCATGACGGGTACCAAATGATCAACTTCTATAGGGATCGGACTAAGCTCGACGATAGGGATGACACGGCCAAATTTCACTAGGAAAGAACTGACATTGACAAGGATAGGATGGTCGACTTTTACCCAGACCAGACCGACAGTGGCGACGAGACTGCTCCACTGGAAAGGATCGATAAGGACAATGGGGACTAAACTGCCAAATTCCATAGAGATTAGACTGATGGGGATTGAACGGCCAAATTCCACCAAGATTGACAGCGATAACGGGCATCGAATGGCTTATTTCTATCGGGACCAGACCGACGACGATGATTGGGGCCAGATAGCCAACTTCCACGGGAGTAGATTGACAACCACGACAAGGACCCGACAGCTGACTTCCACTGAGACTAGATCGACGACGATGACAGGCACCAAAAGGCTGACTTTGACTAGGACCATACCAACAATAATAGCTGGGACCGAACGGCCAACTTTCATCGGGTCTAAACTAACAACCATGAGAGGGACTCAATGGTTGACTTCCACCAAGACCAGACTGACGACGATGATAGGGACCTGATAGATGACTTTCACCTCGACTGGATTGGCGGTTACAATTAGCACAGGATGACCTACTTCTATCAAGACTGAATCAACAACAACTATGGGTATCAGAAGGATAACTTTCACTGGGACCAAAATGATGATGACAGCTGATAATCGGGATTGGACAACCGACTTTCATTAAGATTAGACTGATACTGATGACTAGGACAACACAGCCGACTTCTATTGAGATCGAACCAATGCCGACGACATGACGACCAACTTCCAGCAGTTCCGAACTGGACCAACGGCTACCGGAGTGAAAGGATAGCAACGAAAGGTGACCATCTGATCCTAACCCAGAGGGAGTTGGACTTTTGATCCTCATCATCGCTATAGGTTTAATCCCAAGGGAAGTCAATCGTCTGTTTCCCAACATCATCGCCATCATCAGTTTGGTGTTGGTGGAATTCGGCAGTTTGATTCCATCCTCGTCATCGGTTCGGTCCCAATAGAAGTCTTGCATCCTAACCCCGTCGTAGTTATTGGTTCGGTCCTGGTAGAAGTCAACAATTCTGTCCCCGTCATCCCCTTTAGTTTAGTCACGGTGGAATTTGGCAATCCAGTCCTCATCATCGTTATCAGTCCTTTCCTGGTGGAGCTGTCCTATCATGTCGGTTTGGTCCAGGTGGAAGTCAGCCATCCTGTCCCCATTGTCGGTGTTAGTTCTTTCTTGGTGAAAGTTAGCCATCTCACCCCGTCGTTGGCGTCGGTCCAATCCATGTGGAAGTCGATCGTCGATCCCATCTCAATGGAAGTCAGCGGTCTCATCTTTGTCGTCACTGTTGGTCCTTTCCCGGTTGAGCCGTCCCGTCACCATCAGTCCATTCTGGTGAAAGTAGGCCGTGCCGTCTTGGTCGTCACTGGTCCCACAGTCCCAATTGACTTTGTCTGATCTCGTTGTAAGTTGACCATTCAAATCATCAAGTTTCACTAATCTTTCAAGTTTCTTTTAAATTTAAATAAGAACTAGTAAAGTATCCGTGTGATGCATGAGCCATATATAATAGCTTTGATTTTAAATAAGTGACATATCTATCACTTATGATGAATTTTTACAATAAAGTCTTCAAATTTTAACATTAGATATTAGATTACATTATCTTGAAATCTTTAAATCATAATATTAGATTAAATTATATTATTATTATTATATTATTTTGTGATATTGAAATATTTATAGCTCATTCTTATATTAGATTGTGATCTAGCATGATTATATTTGTGTCACTTTTTATTATCTTCATATCCAATACCTTTTAAATTTTTTATTTATTTATTTTCTTGTTATAAAATATCCTCTTGTTTTCATTCTTATTATTTTCTCTTTTTTGTATTATTTTTATATGGATGATCCTTTATTTATTTATTAGGACTCAGATAAAATATGGTGTTCATAATTAGCATAAGGATACATATAGTTCATTTTTTATTTTAAATATAATGATTGATATTATTAGTTTATAGCTTAAATTATAGTATTTTGAAAATTTCAAATACTTATGGAAGGTATGATTAATTTTGGAAATTATTTTTTAAAATGCAACTTTGATAATTTTTTACATATTTAATTAGCTTTTTTTTTTGCACATTTAACTTATTTAATCATCACCCAATACTTACTAATTAAATAAAATTATCAATTAAAAATAATTAAATTAATTTGTACTATTATTTTATCGGCAAATATGAATAATTAATAATTAAATTTGAATTAAAGTTGTCAATCATATATAATGACCAGGTATTAAAATTTTCAATAATATATTCATTTACATATTTGATTTTTATCCCATTTAGATTAATATGTTAAAAAGTACCAACTCAAAAATAAATTCTATTTAAATTCAAATGCATATTTTAACATAATTCAATGATGATTACTTGTTGATTCAATAACATACTAATTTTCATACAATAATTTTTGCAAATCCATATCAAGCGTGATGATCAATATATCTATAATAGTAGTTCCCCTTAGTTACAATAACTTCTTTGTCTTATTCTTAATTTGTCTTCTTCTCAAATACTTGCCAGCTGTACAGCATTATTGGCTTCCTTTTATAATTATTATTTATATTTTCAATTGGACCTTGTGTTTGAAATAAGATGTGTAATCATAGTCTATTGAGCCCATTTGGTTTTGTTTTTTTATTCTACTTTTCGGTCCGTCTCTATCGCACGAAAATGGTAAGGGTTTGCCGTTGCGTGGGAATTTTCCAGCTATTCTTTCACTAGACTGTAACCCCCTTTTCTATGATTCCCTTAAAGCATCCCCTGCAATCTTCCTTTTTGGTGATTTCTCCTGCTAAGAGCAGGCCTGAAGGATGGTAGTCGATAAAACGATTTCATTTCTATCTTCACTCTTCTCAAAACCATAAACCTATTTGGCTACACTTATCATTTTAGTCCCATCATCGATGCTCTGCATTTGGTTTCATGATCTAGAGTTCTTCTCCTCTTAGAACTCCGTATCACAAATGGTGTTCCTTGAGCGGCGGCGATTTTCACAGCTTCTTCTTCACTAGAGTCTGATGTGAATGGCCTTCCTCCGGTGCTTCTATCTGACAAATTACAAGGGCACGTGCATTCTTTTTCCATCGTCACCCATCTCTCTAATCTCGCTCTCTCGCTTCTATGAGTTCTTTTCCCTCTTTCTTCTTCATCAGTTTCTTTTTTTCATCACCGTCTTTCCCATCTCCAATGCCTTCACTCATGAACTTCATGCATCGATAGCGAGACTCAGAGGCTCCGACTAACAACGCCTTTTGGGAAAAAAACTGAAGGTTTTAACATTCCGAGCTCCTCCTTAGGTTAGGGTTCCTTTCTATTTATCTAATTTTTTGGTCTATTATGGTTTGCTCGTATTTAGAGTGGTTTAGAATGTAGCTTCATTTTCGTTTCTTTCTTTTGGTGTAAAGGAGATGCAGTGAAGGAATCCTGGGGAATTTTTTGCAGGCGATGTGAGTTTTAAGTGAAATAGATATTTTGAATTATTACTCGGATTTGTAGCTTTAATATGTAGCTTTTGTTTTCCTCACCCTTGTAAAATATATGAAAGTGTTGTTGCTTATTTATGAAGTCTTATATAAAAGTTTCCTTGATTTATGTATGTTTACAACTTTGGCTTATTCTTTTCTTTGGTTTCATCCATCTACTCTCATATGCTCCTTTTTTCTTAATGTAGAGTAAAGTAGGATAGGATTCATTTTAATAGCACTCGAAAACTGCAGTGTTGAAGAGAAGGCATCTATTTTTGAAGAAATCCTTCCATATTCATCAAAATTAGTGATGGGTGCGTTTGGCAATTATGTAATTTAGAAGGTATATTGTCACAATCTTTGTCCCCTAAATTATTGCAAATTTTTGGTCTTACATTTGTTTATGCACTTTGTGTACATTCTTTACATTATTTTGCTAATTTAGTTATGTTGAATGCAGTATTTTGAGCATTAAAGCCTAAAAACCTTGCAGATCAGCTTTCTGCACAGATTTTACCATTAAGTTTGCCCTGTTACCCTTTTATGTGCCTGATGAGTTATGAGTATAATTTGAATAATAGCTTTCTTTAACAATTTCCAGTTTTTGTCCAGGAATTGCCATGTTCATGTTGCATTACTTAATGAACTACTACACTCTTGATATAATTTCTTTTCCTAGATGCAAACATTTTGACAAAATCGTAAGATGCTCTAGATACAAAGAGATTTAATCTTACATTTCTTTTTCTCATGGTACATAGGATGTGAGAAAGAGAATCAGTAAGACATGTGCATGCATGATCATTTGGCAATTAAATTTTAGATAAAACTGCTCACATAATATAGTTCTTAAAGATGACATTATTTTATTATATGATGGGGGCTTGCATTATACGTGCCCATTTTGTCTTCAGGTATAAATCAATTCAGAAGAGAATAACATAGGAAGTTTGACTGGAGATATAAAGAATCTTAAATGATACATTTCCATTCAAAAATTGGCGTGAAAAGTACTTCATTTAAAAACAAAAAAAAAACTCACTTTTTTCTTTCTCTATAATTTCTGTTATTTTCCTCTTATGTGCAAGAGTTTTGGCAACCTCCAGTTTCTACTATCATGAAATTGAATGTGCGTTGCTTTATTACAAAATTTCTTGGCTTTTAAAATGATCTATCTGTGACATAAGACTATTAAATTTGTCTATACATTTAACACAAAAGGGATGCTGTGTTTGTGCTATAGCTATTCAGAATAGGGTGGGATTTTGGTTTTTATAGGAAGTAGCTTTGCAATGATTCTAGCTTTGATGAATGTTTATGGTCACATAACATCTCCCAAACCAAGTCCTCATACTCAAACTTAATTTTTTTTCAGAAATATAAAACACACTTGGATAAAGTTGCCTTAATCTTTGTGTACCAAGCTAGAAAAGGCAAGTATGCACCTTAGTATCTCCCCAATCAAAATAAATATTTTATTCAAAGTTACCATTAGCTTCTGTACACTACAATTTATTTTCCCTATGCATTAGCATGAGACTTGCCAACTTTTACTTAGAGTATTAATGCAACTAGCTTTCTCTTCCATCAACTGATACCAATGCCATTTTGGTGATATATCGTTTCATCTTTTTTGACAGTGGGTTTTTTAATCTCCTGTAAAGTATTACTGCTATTATCTTAATTTGCTTGCCATCTTTTGCTTCATGTAAGAAAGATGACTTCTTTTATGTTCATTTTATTGGTTTATGTGATAATACCAATTTGTAGTGTGTAGGTGAATAAGCATTGGTTGATGTAACATAAAAATAGAAATACCAATTTGTAGTGTGTAGGTGAATATTTTATTAGTTTTTTTTAATATTCGACGGTCATGGTGTTTGAATAGTCCTCTGTTCCCGTTGTTTCTATATAATGTTGGCATCAGCAAAGATTCGGTTGGTTTGTTTGCTATCCTTAGTGCAATAATCTCCTTCTAGAGCTCACTGATTACTCGGTTTATCAATGTGGTAGTTGTGGCGCCATTCGAGGTACCCTTTCTTCATTTTCTTCTTCTTCTTATGTATGTTCTGTGTTCTTTGGCTTCAAAAATTTTGTAGAGTAGTTTTAATTTAAAGAAAAATTTGCCTTTTTATTTCTAGCTTCACGACTAACAAAAATACTTCATCCCCAGAATGTGGATTTTTTGTATATTCAGTGAATAGAAATAAATCGGTTGCTTCTTTAGTTCTACTTCCACTGTATGTTTTATTGTTTTAGGCTTCACAAATTTTGCCCGGCCTTTTTTATTCTAGGTTCATGATTAGGACAATATGCCATTATTGACTTTTTTAATATCCGATTAATAGGAGATAAATCAACAAAATATTGAAACGTAAGGATGAAGTGAAGCTGGGATAGATTTGTAATGTAAGAACTAAAAAACACGATAAGCATTTTATTTTGTCTTTGCTTAGTTGTGTCATCTGCCTTTTTGATTGGGAAATAAAGTTATTTATTATGCATATTCATATAGCAGAAAGGCATGACTTGGTTTGTCCCTTCAAATCTTAATATCTCTTTGATTCTTATGTCTGATTTCTCATTTCTTAGGGACAACATCTGAGAAGAATGGGTTGTAATAATAGATGTCTTATCATGACTAATACTCATTGTAAATGTTAAAATCCTGTGTATTCCTTTCCTTTGAAAAAGATATTTTTCTGTCTAGCATGTAAAGGCGTATTTAATTTCTCTCCCTCAATGCTGTCAATCTCTTGACTTAGACTTGAGATGTTGCAGGTTTTGTTGCAGGAAAGTAAAAAGGGGTAAAGAGGAAGAGAAAATGTTGGAAGAAGAAAAGGATGGGTCGTGGCAGTGGCAGGGAGAGATCTTAGATCATGGCTTAGCATGGGCTTGCCTATCAGCATTGTTTTGATTAGGCAAGGAAAAAGCCCATGCTGAGTTATTTGGTTGCTCGGAACATATCACCATTGTCGTTTAGTTTTTTAGTTGGTATAGGGTCATTCAGAGTTACTATCATTGCTCTAAGTTTAGCAGGCCAGATACTGAATTGTGGATTGGCATTATCCAGGATCAAGATTTCATGAATTTGGCAATACAAAAAATAACCTCTACTAATAGAAGAAACACAATAAAGTGATGAAGACAGCAGTAAGCTTTTGTATAAAGTTTTTCTTTAACACTAATAAAGTTGTCTAATTCATTTTTTAGTTTATTTTTGATTTACATGTATCAAAGGTCTTTGCTCAGGTGCAAAGTTATCAATTACTTCTTCATATAATAAAATCGCCATTTTCTTTTGGTGCAACACCAATGATCTCTGCTTCTTATAATACAAGACTTGGGGTTCTGTTCTAATTTATATAGAGGTGCAACTATTTAGGAGGTCTATGCTTGGACTTGCAATGAGGCATTAACCTCCATAGAAGCTGTTGACAAGTTTTTGGTGTTTTTATGAGGGTTTAGATGGTTAATGGCCTTTTTGTTCTTTGTTTTTTTTTTCCCTTTGTGGATTGTAATGCTAAGCTTTCTTGATGGTAAATTTTGTTTGGTGTATACATATTGAGAAATATTGTAGTAAGTTTACAGTTATGCTAATAATTGTTCTTTTTGCGAGAAATGTAAACTTACTTTCCCTTTTGCGTCTTTGAATGCTTGATTTCCCTGGGAACACTTAATGCTGTTGCAAGACACAATTTGTTTTATAGTTTCTTATTCTAATGTACATTGAGATGCTAAAAATTGTAATGAGTTTACACATTTATATTAATATCTGTTCAAATAATTTTTTTTACAATGTTCAAGTAATCTCAATCTGATTTATATTGTTAGTAGATGTAAAAATTTATTTTTCATAATTATTGAGAATAACTCATTTTAAATTTGGCTTAATTTTAATATTGAATTCAATTCAATTCATTATTAACTCTTGAAAACAACTCTAGCATTACAAAATCTTAATTATCATATTGGGAAGAAGAAAACAAGCACTCATATTGGGAAGAAGAAAACAAGCACATGATCTTACTTTCAATATTCTAAAGGACTTTCAGAATATAAAGAGTTATAATTTTTGTTCAGTAACATTAAAGAATATTAGTATCAAGTATTAGTTAAGTATATTTTAACTCAATAGCCAAAAAAAAAAAAAAGGTGGGGGGAGTAGCCTGAGCATTATATATATATATATACACACACACACACTTCACAAGTGTTACCTGCATCCACCAATAATGTTATGCCATGTCTCCTACAAGTTTTTTTTTAGGCAATTAATTTTGGTTTTATTATCTTTTAAATTTTTATTTTATATAACTTAAAATAAATTTTTTCATAATTTAATATGTTGTTAATTATAATCTTCCTCTACATCGCAGGGGATGGTAAAAGCTAGTTATATTAATGTGATTTTTTATCTCAATTAGATTAATCATGTATTTACAAATAAAATATAAATTTTTATATATTTTTTAATTAAATTTAATTTTTTATTCAAATCCAAATTGAATTTTGAATTATGCTATGTGCTCCAAAAATCAAACAAAATTTTAATAAATTAGATGTTTTCTTTAAAATTAGAAAATTAAATATAAGAAGTCATGCGCTCTTTAAAAATACTCTTTAAATTTATATATTTAAAAATTAAGAATATTATCCTACAAGGAATCAACAACCATCTATGACGCCAAAATCATATAAATTTTAGTGAGGACACTTCGAGGCATAGAATCATAGAAAATTTTTTTAAGATGTGATTTTAAATGCCTAATATGTGATGTTATATATTTATAATTAATTAAACATGATTTAGGATCAATGGTTTTTAAATTTTTTATACTTTGAATTTGAATAGAAAATAAATAACGTGATAAAAGAACATTAATATCAGGATGAAGTTATTTAATTTCAAACTACTCACTCATGCTTGAGATTTGCTCAAAATTAAGTGATAATAAATATTTAAAGCATATAAATCAAATTTTTTTACAATATTAATTTATAAAATTTTTCATAAAAATGAAAGTACATAATTTATTTAATTTTTTCCATGTATTTCTTCCACATAACCATTAAATATTTATACAAATATGTTAATTTTCATATAGTTTTAATATCAATTTGTATAACTGCACATGATTATGCATAACCCTTCTTTGACAAAAAAATACAAACTGACATCCGCTAACTTCAAGTCCTAACTCCACCACTGATTTTAAATATTTATGTATGATTTGGATTTCATTAACCAACAATCTCGCAAAATTAAAAAATAAAAAATATCTAGAGTATTATACCTCCATAATAGAGGCTAACATATATACATCTAGGTCAGTTCACATCCAGTTAGGTTTTTAAGAACAATCTCACCAAATACAATAATAATAATAATTGGGTTCCCAATCAACTATGTTCCCATGCATCTTATATATTATGAAACAAAACATGATATGACAACTCAGTGTTTAATATTTTTTTTCCTCTTTTCAATAAAAGCACTCTTGCGTGTTACATATTTCAACATGAATTATGGAACGAAATTTAGATTCTAAAAAGTTGACAAAATTTTTCACAATCGCTACATAATTAAAAAATATAATATATCAATTAATCAATATTGTTTTAATACTAATATTAAATCTAAACTGAAATTCTAACTAAGTCACGTATTAAAAGAATATCAATTTTTAATATTTTCTAGGGAAGTTCAAATTTTGAAGTCATTTTTTTCAGGTATTAATTTGTATATATTAATTTGAATTCAACTGAATAATATATACAATTTATCATATAATCCAAATTTTTGAAATTATGAGTATATATCTTAATATCTAACTCAGTTCTAAATATTTAGATAGATACTTGCCTTGAATTCAAATAAATTTAAATATACTTGATCATATAATCCAAATTTTTGAAAGTCATGAGTATATATCTTAATATCGAAACTCAAGTTATTTTTTGAAATGTTGAGATAGATACTTGCCTTGAATTCAAATAGATTTATATATACTTGATCATATAATTCAAATTTTTGAAAGTCATGAGTATATATCTTAGTATCTAAACTCAGGTTATTTTTTTAAAATGTTGAGATAGATACTTGCCTTGAATTCAAATAGATTTATATATACTTATTATATCAAGCTAAAATTTAGGAAAACAATAGTTTAGATTGAAATGCACAAAAATAATTAAGGTATATCAGAAGTTTTAAATATAGATGAATTTTTCTAAAATTTTTAATTAGAAAGATAAATATTAATTTGAACTCAATTAATTAGATATACATCTAAACATTGATTTCAATATCATTCCTTTACTTACTCTATTGCCAGAAGGATTTCCCCTATACATTTGTAAAAGGCTCTTAAATAAATATAAAAGATAAAAAGTCCCTATGTATATAATAATAAAGAAGATGTATAGATCTCAAACATAAAAATGACATTGAATACATACCTTAAGAATAATTTAATAATATCAAATCATACTATTAGAGTTGTCTTTCCAATTGCACGTACTATTGGTAACCACCATATCAATATAATAGCAGCATGAGCAAAAATCAATATTCAACACATTTTTTCATTAAAAAAGGAATGAATTATTGATAAATAATGAATAACACCGAGAGACCTTCAATTTTAAAATCGTTATATATTTTAAAGGGATGCAACCTACAGTAACATTTTTCATAGATAGGATAAGTATTATATATTGAACATAATTGAGGAGATTTGAAAAATAAAAGACATAAACACTTACTCCAGCATTTTGAAAGACAATATTAGATTCTTCGAATGTATTTCTAACTAGCAATCTCCCGATATGAATCACCCCAAACACAATATGCCAATATTTTTGTGTTGTATTGATAGCACGAATAACATAGATCTCAAAAGTAAAAGCCATGGATAGTATGAATCATAATTGAAGGAGAATGAATTTAATACAATTAATTAGAGGAGTGAGTCAAACGTAAAGTGTGAATGTACTATTATCTAATATAGTAATTTATAATTGATGGAATAAGGTTGATTTGTAAGGAAAAATTAAGAGGTGATTTTTTTAAAAAATCAAGATGATAGATATTAAAAATTATTTTATTTAATGTAAATATTTAAGAATTTAATTTTTACCAAACTTAGTATATGAATTTATTATAATGAGATCCAAATTATTAATATATGCTTTTAACATATCGAACAACTGGTTGGCAGAATCCAAAATATATAAATAGGAGAAAAATTAATATATGAATTCAACATAATGAGACCTAAACAATTAAATAGATTAATATATATACCTTATCATATTTATAATTTTTGAAATTCATGAGGATATATTTAAATAGTTAAATATAGAAAAATATATATTAATTAAATTTTAATCCTAATATTATGTATACTCGGACTTATGAGCATTACTTTTCGCTATAATAATTGGGAATATATATCATATTTCATATATTAATTTTTATTATATTTATAATTTTTAAAATTCATAAAGATAGATTAAAATAGTAAGCACATATTCTTTTTAAAATATTTAAATAGATATATATATGTCCAATTTAAATTTGAATCCCAATATATATATAATATATATGCATATAAATACCTCCAAAAATATGAACCCAAAATTTTGCCATATATTTAGGTTAGATAGAGTGTTTAAATATATAGATATTAATTTAAATATACATATAATCAGATTTGAATTTCAAATAGGTAAAAGTATATTTTTAAACACATATTCTTTTTTCTAAACATTTATATATTAATCTAAATTTTAATCCTAATATATATATATATATATATATATATATGTAGTATATATATACCCAGCATTATGAGCATCAATCTTAGCTATAATAATTGAAAAATATATTATGTCAAATTTCATATATTAATAAAAATCATATTATAACTTTTGAAATTCATGAGGATAGATTAAATAGTAAAACAAATATATATATATATATATATATATATTTTAATTTAAATAGATGTATATTATTTAAATTTGAATCCCAATATATATATATCTATATATATGCAAATAAATATTTCTAAAAATTATGAACCTAAAATTTTGCCATATATTTAGGATGGATAGAGTGATTATATATATAGATATTAATTTAAATTTAAACCTAATCAGATTTAAATTTCCAAATAAGTAAAAATAGATTTTTATATACATTTAAAAATTAATAATTTATTTGTACCTAACTCTAAACCTCAATAATATATTTTATATTTTTCAAAAAAAATAAAACATTTCTAACATAATTTCAAACCTGATTCTATAGCATAGAATCACACGAAAGGTATCATGAAGTACATAATTATTGCAAACCTAAAATTAAAAATGTGGCATTTTCTTTAACTTTAAACCCTACTAATTTTATATATATAATGATTTAAGATTTAAAAATTTACTTTAAATTCAAATAAAAAATTTTAATATTATAATTTAAATTTTTTTATATTATTCAAATAAAAAATTTATAATTTATAAATTTTAAATGTAAAATTTTAAATATGAGATTTTAAATTTAAATTTACCAATCTAAGGTATTTTTTTTAAGGGATAGAATTATTTTATTATTGTTATTATTATTATTATATTTTGCCGAGCTAGAGGAATTGAATTAGGTTAAAGAAAAGCATCCCCGGGTTTATACGGATTTTTCTATCCATAATAAACGTGTTGTAAAGTTGATCTTTGAGGTACCCATTTTCCTTTTAATACTTTTGAATTACAATGATTGTGGTGATACATGATAAAGCTTTTGCATTTTGCAACTTTCAATTTTGAGGAGAGTCGAAATGCAACCTAATGGATTCTTTCGTCCTTCCACCAGTTATTCGATGAGATTTTCCCCTACGCTGCAGAGAATTTTCGTGCGCTATGTACGGTTTATAATTTGGTGGTTTTATTTCCCTAGTAAAGCCCTCCCGTACTACAATTAGAGTCCTGACTAATTGAACAAGCCGTTGGGCATGCTAATTCAGTTAGATTTTATGGTTCATGATACAAGTTCCTCATTTCTCATTTAGTTTTTTCATTTGTTCAGGAGAGAAGGGAATCAGTAGCAAATTAAAAGTGCCACTGCACTACAAGGGTACTTCCTTCTATCACATTGTGAAAGGTGGTTCCTTTGTTATTATTATTATTTTTTAACTCTTGTCACACCTAGGATCATCTTCTGTATTGTTGTTCTACCCTGATGTTGTGGTTGAAGTCGAACATGGCTTAGGAGTTGTCCTTCTTTAGTCAGTTATCCTTGTTTATGTCGTAGGATATCTGCTTTTCTTGTGGTGTAGTTTTAAGCTGGCACTTACTAACCTGTCCATCTTAGAATGCTAATAAGCTTCATAATTTTCAAACCCATTATGTATGCATTATGGTATCTTGAGTATATATTGATGGCTGGTTTTCCTTTTGCAGGGGGGCACTTTATGGGATTCATTCGGTATGTTTTCTATTGATGCATTGACATTAGGATGACACACTTCTTGCTATAGTTTTTCAAGCTTGTATCTTGATACAGTTCATGTAGTGACTTTCAATTTTTTGAAGTTGCCTGTCTCATGTTTTTGGTCATATGATCTTGACTCATCACATGAAGCAGTTAATATTACTTTGCTAATTACTATTACCCCTCAAATAAAAGTAGATTCTTGTTTTTTTTCCCCCCTGATGCATCACATGGGATTTGAATCAGTCGTCATGTTCACTGCTTATGTATAATGTGTCTTGTTATATATTTTTATCTTAGATATTGATATATCGATTATCAGTAAATTTGGTATCCTCTTGTCCTTGAATCCTTTGGGTTGCTAAACAATAGGATTGGATGAGACAACAATTGAGGATTTTTAACTGAATCATTTTTTTCAAATTAAAAATGTCACTTAGGATTTATTTCTAAATGAGTGGTTAAATAGTGCATCTGTTTGGAAATCCTAAGTTCAACCAATTGCTATCGTTGATATTTATGTGTATCAGTTTATATGTAAGTCTTCAAATGATATAAAATACTGTTTTCCTTGTTTAATACGTTATTTTTATTCAATTTGTCTTTCTCTTCTTTACTTTAGTTTTTTTCACTGTCAATAGCTTAATTCATTAGAGTAACCCCAGATTATGTTTGGAAGTTGAATATGAACTCTGGAGCTAGTTTGTCATCATTTTTAGATTGGGTTCTATCACAATGTTAATTGCAACTATTAGTTTTCATCCAGTCTAATGATCAGTTTTGTATAATTTCGCAAACTTTTTAATCATTTTTTTATCCTCCCTCGATGTAATGTCTACTCTCACACCTTTGCATTTCATTTTTTATGGTTTAGCAGAGCTTGGAGATAGCATATATGATTCACAGTTCCCAAGTGAGAATTCCAGATCCTGCAGTCATTCGTATGAGCTCTTACCGTATAGAATGCAATGATTCAAAATATATATATATATAGTCTTATAGACATAACCAAAAATGACTTCGACTGTTTATTTTGATGAGCTGAGTTTTTACATTGTTCTTGTGATTTAAATTAAAATTTTAGGTTAGATAAGGAGGCGAAGATGATCTTAATTGAAGCAACTGGGGAATTGGAATAACCTGGAATTAAGATCATCTTCCAATTTGGAAAAGTAGGGAAGGATTTATTCGCAATGGATTAACAGTACCCCATCTCAGCATTTCAGGCTTTTTTAATTTGCCTCAGCAGCTTTGAAACCAAAACCGCCCGTGAATGATGCATGTTTCAACAATTAGTGCTGTCATGCACAAAACATTCTTGAATCTTTGACATTTGATATGTATCTGATGTCTTGCATATCTTTATTTTGTTATAGAAATAGGAAACATGAAGAAATGTCATACTTGTAATTAGTCTTACTTTATTTGGTCACTATTAAATTGGAAACTTATGAACTATTAAAAGGTGTGAAAATGGTGTTTCATAATTGTATTTTCTGCGTAAATGCCAATGAAATCTTATTTTGTGTTTTTGTTTTGTTTTTTTGTTTCTCTCCTCTCATTATTTACTTAAATCATGGCTTGCACTATATCTTGGCATTTGTTCCTTAATAGTTGTGATAATTATTTTTATCTAGTTTAGATAAGCATTTTTGTACAAGCAGTTTTTTACCATTTTACCTTATATTAATAAGTGGTTGTTCTTCTGATTGTGAATCTTCTTATATTCTTCTCATTTGATTCTTTTTTTCCTCTAGGTTTTCAAATCTTATGGCTTTTGGAGGTGGAAGAGATATGATAGAAGTTCCAATTAATTTAATTGTTGATAAAAATGACTGGATTGTTAAGAGTTTAAATATTTGTCATGGTACATTAGGAGAAGAAAATATTAGCATAAAATTTTTGGAAAATGATGGGGATGAAGAACATATTGAAAATTTGAAAATGTGTCAAAATCACATTAACATCATCTCTTATTATACCCATGTGCTTCATAATGGTTCCAAGTATTTAATAATGGAACCATTTAAATACACGTTGGGCGATTTTCTTAAAGAATATGACGATCATGGGGAGAAAAGGGGAGAGTTTTAGGAAGATGGTAGTAATTACCCTACCCTTCGATTGTTATATTTAATGAGGTATATGAAATTTTTTTTAATTATTTTTAGTTTTCATTTTATGTATTTATTTATATTAAATTATTGATTTTCATTTTTTCCTTTTGATGGCCCAGAGATATTGTTCATGGGGATTTCTACATGGGTAAATTGAAAATAATTCATGAAACTTTGACGCCAAATCACATCATGATAATACCATCAAGTCAATCAATACGAATAGGAGTTTCATAGCAAAAATATGTGACATGAAGACATCAAGAAGGCTTGATGGCAAGAATGAGCTCAAAAAGGAGAAAATATTCGTAAGCACCTCAATAATATTTTATTTTTTTATTTAGCATTTAATTATAACAATAATTTAATAGTTTTATGAATGATTTAAATAATTGCAGCCCATGATGATGATTGGCCTTCACCTGAACAATTAAATCAGATAACCCAAACATTAATGATGGATGTGTTCAACCTCGGCTGTATTTTATTTTATTGCCTCACTCCAGAGCATCCATTTGAGAATCAGCGGATATATATCTGCCGAGTAATATAAGGCATATGCAGCTTCTGCCTGACTTTCCAGTGTTGAAGAATTTACTTCTTGCGATGCTAAAACCTGCTCTTAAGGATAGGTCCGTAATTTTTAATTTGTTAGTTAATTTATAAATTTAGCAAATGAATTTGTTAGTTTTGTTTAGAGGTTACATTGAAAAAGAAATTATTTTCATAATTTTCAGGATCAAACCTATGGACGTGGTCTTCCATCCTTTGTTTTGGAGTCCCCACAGAAAGCTTGCTTTTCTTATTCATGCGAGCGATTATATACAAGCTAAGAGACAAACGATGACAAAGTTCTTCATAAACATGAGAACAACAAAAATAATCAACGGAAATTGGCTCGCAAAGATACAAAATAATGAAATGCATAAGGCAGTCATAGGATTGGATGGCAAATATGATTACGATAGTGTCCTTGAGTTGGTCAGAGCGATTAGAAATCTAGCTATCCACGAGGCAAACTGGAAACCATCATTTAAGGTATAATTATAAATTCTTTAGAGTTAATTAATATATATAATGTATATCCATATTTAATATTCTTGACTTTATTGATTTTTCAGGCAGCTTTCCGTACCCAGTAGGATTTGAGGGATATTTCAAGACAGTCTTTCCAGATTTATTTCTTGATGTTTATAAATCGATTCAAAAAAACTGCTTATGCGAGACACGGTTTAACTCTTATTTCAGAGAGCATTTTGAAGCTGACAAATTTCTTTGAGAAGAAAATGGTTAAAATAGCCTGTTGAGCTTGTGGCTTTCTAGTTGGAGCATGTTGCTTTTGTATGGTAAGTCATTAGTTCGATTCTGCATGCACCAATTTGAAAATGGTTAAAACAGTATTTCCTTTGATTTTGACATGCTGTATATATGATGATTACCGCAATGATATGATGTCTGAAAGGTTTGAAGGAAGAAAGTTTAGGGAAATATTATACTTTCATGCCTTGTTTTCAATCATGGAAAATTATTATCGAATTTGTCTGTCTTCTAAGTTTAATCCTGGTTAAAGCTCTATTCTTGATGTCATTTTTTTCTTCTGTTTGTTTGTATCCCCCTTCTTTCCTCACTCTAATTATTATTTTAAATTTTAAATTATTTTGCTACTTTGAAGATGCTGTATTTATTTTCAATCTCTTGTGCCAACTAAGGATGTCTATTGAACATACATTACTGATTGGTATTTGAATCAATTAGATGAATAGAAAGTTGGCTAGTTCTAGTTTTTGTGGTTGCAATCATTATTTGCATTGGCAACTCGATCGTATAAATAGTTTGGTTGCTGTACTGATGTCAACTTCAAATTACTTTGATTTTAGGGTTATGCATTGATTGAATATCAGCTTGTTGAGGAAGCAGGAAATACAATAGAGTATTTGAATGGATCTGAACTTATTCAAATCATCTATGTTGACAGGGCTTTCAGCAATGGACCTATTAATGGTGCAATGAGAAGAAAGAATGCTAGGCATCCATGCTGGACTTTTAACTGTTGATTAATATTTGACAGATCATTTAGCCCTTTGATATTACAATGGTGTTAATAGTTTATACTGGTTACTCAAACCATTTATGTTGCCGTGGTGTGGGTGTGCAGTGCAGTGCTTGGATGATTTTTTACACCTTAATGAGCAAAGTTGGTTTATTTGGTCAAATCGTGACTGATTTTTTCCTGATGCTTGTTCTGCTTTGAAGTTCATATATATTGGTTGTTTGGGATTTGTGCTCCAACAGCTCATCTCAATCTATGATGTATAGATAGAGTGTAACATACTAGGATTAAATTCAGTGATGTGTTGTGGTTATTATTGTATGCAATGATGTTACCTTGAGGAATTTATTGGTGTTCCGCTTAGCTTCATGGAGGTGCAGTGTTTGCTGGGATTTCATTTAGTTGGCTCAAATTGTACAAGATTGTAAACATAGGAGCTAGTTGGGAGCTAGTTGGCTCAAATTGTAGATTACAAGTTTAAAAGGTAGTTGGGGGCATCAAGAGTACTTATCTCTAATAGGAGGATTCATATGCAGTGGCCAAAAAAAAAAAAGACAAAAAAGCTAGTTGGGTTAAAATATTTGAATATTCTTTTGAATTTAAAAAAAATTCAAAGAATATTCAAATATAAGTCACATTGTATTGAAAAATTTTTATTTCAGTTTTAGTTTACAAATTATAGTTGGCATAAATTTTAGTTTTGCAAATGTCAATCCAAGTTGAATGGTTACATACCATGTTCATTCAAGCAAGAGGTACAAGCATCTCATGATCAGCCTAGGAAGGCATGCCTATTTCAACTGCCGTCATCTAATGTTACCGCGAAAGCTGTCGTATTACTTCCCATCTGAGAGTTTCTTATATTCTTAATTGATCTTCATAACCACAAGAGGAATTCATGAACAAGCCCAAGTCAATGGGCCAATTCTACTATTGCCCGAAATGATAAGGCCCAATCGGTTGTTTCCCATTACAATGGCTGGGGATGCATAACTCGATAAAGGAAAAGAGGGGGTGATGAACGAAGTGGACCATGAACTAGAAAGCTATCACTTTATAGCAAATCTCAGCATGGTTTGGAGATAAAATAACAAATTAAACATGTTATTTTCTTATATTGATAACAGGCAAACATGTTTAGAAGTACATGAATTTAGATTTTCTCACATATATTCTATGTTGTTTGACAGAATAGATTTAACTTGTTTAAATTGATTAATTAGACGGGTAAAACTGGCTGAAAATTAATTATTGTTCAGCTAACAAATTGGAGAAAAAAAAAGAGTAAAATGGGAGGAACGTTTGAATTTTATTACCAAAAATAAGATACATTAAAGAATTAATTTTATTTAAGCCTGATAGTACTTTAAATTCGAATTAACCTGAGTAAGGAAATATGAAAATAATTTTATTAATAAAAAAAAACTTTGGTATGGAATAAATTATATCACCCAGCAAAGAGCTTGTTTGGTGCAAAAAAAAAAAAACACACACACACACGCACACACACTTTTGCCCAAAATCAGAATTTGGCTCAAGATCACGTTTTCGGAGAAGCGCTTGATGCTTACTCCTACATTTACGTTCAACTTAGAGATTTTAGTTGGAAGTATCACATGCCACGTTTACCCTCAGCTCAAAATTCTATCTATGTTCACTTTGTATCTTGGAAGGAAGGCTTATGTCACAAACTTCAAGACTTACCATTTTGAAATCAGTTCTCTCGGCAGCAAATGTGTATCAACTTCCTTATACAAAACTGCTGAAGAAGTATTCAATGGGAACAAAAAAAAGAATGCATCTAGTTAACAGGAATATCCTTTTTCACCACTGTTAATGAAGGTGGACTACGTCTTGGACCCATTCAACAGGTAAATGAATCTCTTTTAGCAAAACAAGTCTGGAGACTGATAAATGCTGAGGAAGGTTCACTCTTGGCAAGCACCCTCAAGATTAAATACATTGATATCTCAAAAACTGAAATTGTGAAGAAGCCTTATAATGCCTCTTGGTACTGGAAAGGAATTTAGGAGTGTTCTGACATCAGTACCTCCAATCTTAAATGATGTGTTGTGAATGGTAATAATATTCCTATCTCAAACCACCTTAGGTGGACTAAGTCATGGAACAGAGACCAAACTGCTTATATTTCTCGTCTCTGATCTCATCACAACAACAAACACTCCATGTCAACCAATTGAATGGAATGGAAATGATTAGCTCCCAATTTCTTAAAATTCCACCGTCCTTCAGAGGATCTGATGACAAAGTCATCTGGAATAGTGCAATATACGATGTGTACATTGCAAAAAAGGGGTATTATTTACTGCTTGGTCAGCTAGTTTCAAGAGGTAATCACAGACAAAATTTATGAAAATTTTGTCGGCAGACCAAAATTCCATTCAGATATATTTTATTGGGGTGGAAAATCATCAATGATTGCCTGCCCATCGGAGAGACTCTAAATCATCATCACCCGCATGTCAATGCCCTATGTCAATTTGGGTGTGATCAACCTGAATTCCTAACTCAGTTATTCTTCACTAGTTCGTTTACAAGAAGCATTTGGTTTGGAGAGCTAGGAATCAGTTCATCAGACTTTCCATCATCTTCTAGAAGACAAGAACGGATGATAGATTTCCTTTCTACTCTACTCAATGATGGGGAATCCAAATGGGCTAACAATATCATCACCGTGTTGAAATCTAATATGGTGGAAAGGAAATCAAGTGGTTCATCAAAAAGGAAAATTTACAACAGATCAGATCATCAAGGAATTTTTTTGGATGACTCGATACCTGGAAGTCATTTACTCACCTTCAATTTGCTCCTCGCGTAATCCGAGAATAGCAAACCGGGCTCAAGCTTGGAATCCTTCACTCCAAAATTTTCAGCTTGGTTGGAGCATCTGGATCAAAAAAAATGAGAGGTGGAGAAGAAAGGGGATGAATGAATGGATAGTAATTTGCAGCCTAAACAGGAACATCAATCGCATAATTCAGAACTTCCATACCAGAAAATCAAAACACACTCCTCAAGTCTTGATCTGCATCGGACATGCAATTTTCTGGATATCAAAATTTGCAGAATCCTGTGGCTATCCCAAGCTCCCTCTCGAAGTCGTGTTTTAAAAAACAACCCCAAGCCAGCTTCGTTTCTGCGACAGCGGGATTAGTTTCATGCAAGCTCAAAGGTACACCGTGCTTCAAGTATCATGTCTTCTAAAGAAGAATTCACTTTCCTAACTTTTTCTTGCAATGATTTATTTCCGTTTAGCATTGAAGGAATTTTGGAGGCAATTTGACCACGGTACTAAAAAAAATTATTCACCACAATATTATACTTTTAATAATATTTCTCTAAATACGATAAATTTAAAACTTGATTTGAATCATACCGAATTGTAAATTTCTTTTTTAACATTTAAGAATAGAACTCAGTTTTTACCAAATCGAGTTTTATATTTATAATTTCTTTAAAAAAAATTGATGTGAAAGGCATCTTGTTTGGTAGGTCTGCCACTAACTACCCCATTCCCGATGTACTATCGCACTTCATTATTCCCTTTCCTTTCATCGTCCGTCGCCCCTCTCCTTTTTTGTCGGTGCGTGATGCCTTGGGGTGTATTTTTTAACTAATCTACCTTTATACGTTTATATATAAAATAACTATTATATTAATTTTATAATTATAATTATTTTAAGTTGGTCTAAGCTATTTAATTTCTAATGCTAAAAGGATCTAAAATTAGATGCAAGATTTCTGCTCTAAAATTTAAATGAGAAAACACAATTAATGCAACTAAAATTACCTAGACGGATGCTGATACTTATGTCTAACACCTAAATTTTATTATGCATTGTGTGAGTTTTAAATTATGGTTGGAGGATTTTGCGTCAAAAAAATAAAATATAAACTAAAGAAATTAATTAAGTGATAAAAAGAATTAATTAATCAAAAATAAAAAAAGTTTAATTCAAATATAATAAATGGAACAATTTAATACTTCACATGGAGTTAATTTTTTTACTCTAATTCAATTATTTAGGCCAAAGGAAAATGATGTTCAGTGATGAGAAGATGATTGTGTGC